AAATGATGCATAGGTTAAATTATGGAAAAATAATATACTTTGGTACATTAGTTATTAGTTTCAAAAAGTCTGTCAAAGATTCTATAAATTATTCGAAATTTAAAATGATGTCATTAATTGCGGTCAGTCAATATCTTATCAATTCATTTCCAAATCAATCCACCTATGTTTATGCCTTTTTATGATATTTTGAAGAAAAGTTGTAACTGATATATTTAATAATTTTTTCCTTATACTGAAAAGGAGGATTTAAATCATTACAAAAGTTTAATTATTTACTGTACTATCAAATAAAATATGTTAACATTGATGTGAATCTTAAATATTCATCAATATTTCAATATAATATTTTGTATCAATATTTTCAATAACAGTAGCAAAAAAGTAGAAGAAAAAAAGGAATATATTATTTGGTAAACTCATATGTATGTCTATGTGTATATGTGCATGTGTATGTGTTTATGTGTGTATGTGCATGTGTGTGTGTGTGTGTGTGTGTGTGTGTGTGTGTGTGTATGTGTGTGTGTGCGTGTGTGTGTATGTGTGTGTGTGCGTGTGTGTGCGTGCGTACGTCGTTTCTTCAGATGTTCCTCTGTACAAGTTTTTCTCAGTCACACATTATCTTCATTTTCCATCGAACATTTCTTTGTGGCACGCATTTATCGGTGGTCTGAAACGAAATCAACCAGCACGGCAGAAAGTTCTTTTCCTGTTGTTGCGGTTGCTATGTGTACATTTCCATCAAAATTTTATTCAAATGATTTAAGACATCCATACCGATCAGGGACCATTCAAATTTTTGTGTTCTTACAAAAATCTGGTAATGAAAGGAAAAAGGAAGGAGGATGGAGAAGGACATCATTGTTCCTTCATTTTTAACAGGAAGGAATAGATGATGGATGCATGAAATGTTTAGTAAATTTTATTTCATTTAAATATCTTTTTTTGCAGTTATTGCTTACAATAATGGATTAAATATAGATTTGTTGACAGGGATGATATTATATGCTCTAAAATTGTTCATGCAACAGATTGTACAATGACGAAGCTGTAACTTTTAATCCATTATACGCTTAACTTCCATTTGCGCATTCTGTTGTTTAAAGATAATAGAGGGAATAGAATAATCTTCGGTTTATATCTGCAAAATTTTTAGCTACTACTGTACAAATTCGATTCATTCAAACTCTATTTATTCGTTAAAATTTATTTTTGAAAATGAAATTTAAAAGATTTGATAAATGATGTAGATAGAATACCTTTTCAACTGGCTTATTCACCCACTCCCCTATTTGTCTTCCATCTTTCACTTCTTCATCGTTATCTTGTTGGCATCCATCGGGCTGGCCACATCATCATTCCGATTTCTCGTTTTTGCTCCGATCACAATGATAGTTTGCTTTTTTTTTCCCACTGATAATTTCAGGTGATTTTGTTTTAGTTAAAAGATTCGAGAATTTTAGCAAATTTGAAATTTAAAAAAAAAGGAAAAGGAAAATGAAGAATAATTTTCAGGGAAAACTTTATAATCAATGATGGAATGACGATGATTGTCGCTCAAAACAGTTCCAATGCGCATTTAATTTTCTAAAATCTTGTTTTCCATCATCATCCGACCACAAAAACACATGGAGCTACTAAAAACGCTTGAAGATCCAACGTTACGTATTGTGCACAAGGCAGGCAGTCAATTGGTGAACTTACATTTTATTAGCAAAATTTCCTGAACTATTGCGTAAAAAACAATGTGCTTGAATTCTGGTTCTTCAAACACCTTCTTTTTCCTCTTCCTCATTTTTTTTTAATTCTTTTTTTTTTTGTTCTTCTCTTTTATCATTTCTTTCACTCAATATATTTATTAGTTCCTTAAAATTCCATCCATTTAAGTCTTCTCTTTTTGTTATCAATTTAATATCGAAATTCAATTTCTAAAATTTCAGTAAAAGTATCGAATTTTTTCGTTAGTTGCTTTTATGTAACTTCTTGGATTACTAAAAATTTCAAATTGATATAACGCTTGTTAGCTTGTTAGCTTCTGCTACGAAAAAATGAATTTAATCGTAACCAATTTAAAATAATTTATGAATTTCCATCCTTTTAAGATGGTATTTTTAGAAGTGATTTCTCATCGATGCATTTTTTTTTCTTTTACATTGATTGTGAGAAAGTTTCCACTTCTAGAATTTCTGTTTAATTTGAAATATTTTCAGAGTTCTGAAACTGATGAAGACGTCTTATTAGAGGAAGGGAAATCACGGATGCGACGCTACAAAGCATATACAGTAATGCAGAAATCTGGATTTCAGCATACTGAGTAAACTTCTATATTTAAATTTTTTAATAAATTGAAATTATGTCTTGTAAGTTGACGGAACTTATGAAAGTTTAAAAATGAATAGAGGAAGATTTCTTTAAATAGATTACTCAAAATCTCCAAAATTTTCCAATTACTCCAAATTCATCTCAATCTTTCCGAGTCCTATTATCATTAAGTCTTACCGGTTTGATTCACAGCAAAAGCTCCTCAATGAAGTGCTATCGTTAATGATTGCCAGTTCTGTTTACCGAAAATTCCCGCTACAGTAATTCTTCCAGACAAAAAAAAATTTCAGATATCCTATTATGATAGAATTGTGCTATTAAAACCAGTTTTACAAATTTGTATGCTCAAAAGATTTGAATTAAACGAAATTATCTATTATGGTTAAAATTATCATCACACGGGGAATTGGACCAAAAACTACTCTGTCTAGAAAAGTATGTGATCCGTACTAAGTATTAAGTATTAAATGTTCATTATCAGTAGTGGTGGGAAAAAAAATCACTCCTGAAATGTTTTATAAGATCTAAAAATCCATAATTTTGATTTTAGTTATTTGTCAATAATGATTAATTTGTGTCGCGTTGAAATAGCTGTATCACTGGGATTTCTGATCCACGGTTTTACGTGTCCAGGTTTCGCTCAAGAATCTGCTTATCAGGGAACATGTCACATGAATGTGGTAGCTGCAGTTGTTGGTGCCACCACTGGGTGCATAGGACTTGGAGTTGTACACAGGTAAAAGATTTCTGGATTTTCTTCGATACTCTTTCACTTTTTTAGAGACTATAAATGAGGATTACCGGAAATATTTACGCATTTCTCCGTGGAATATGGAGTAAAATTTGAAAACCGAAGCTGAAATTTCTGACGAATTCCAGGTATCGATGGAAAATGATGCTCATTATGTGGCTTGTACTATGCATTATATCAGCTGTGGGGAACTTGTTATCAGTGATAACAACGGGCATTTGGCTTGATCACCTTAGCAAAATGAAAAGCCGTACCGGTCTTGTTAATGGGTTAAGTGGAATGATGCTTTTATGTTCTGTTGCCATTGGTTGGTATTGCACCTAATTCGTACTATGCATTGTTTTTTCTTTTTTTAAAGTTTACATTTCGTAGGAAGTTACCAAACTCTGAAGGTATCGTAAATTGACTAGCCGAATGCATGCAAGGAAAAAGACTAATATCATCGGTCATCTCATCTGATTTTTCTCTCAAGATTTATGAAATATTTAGTCTTAGTTAATTAACACGTACTAATATCATCACAACTTCCTTTCAATCTTTGCAACACTTTTCACCGCTCTTTAGCGGTTATTTTCTTATTGTGATGTAGTCATTACCTGAAAATGTGATTTATAATCAAAACAAATAAATCCCTTAATTATAGCGATCTTTTTAGGTGTTTGTTTTATTCTCAATGCAGTGATGATATGCCATTTCTGGAACTTTAATTCGCAAAAGTATCAGGCTGTTGGAAAAATTTCGGTAATGTTTTAGCACTGGTCAAATAACTATAAGTGGTGGGTGACAGAACCATCCGCTTGTACTTAAAATCTTAATTTTTTGAAAATATGGAACTTTTTCTCCGCGTAAGTTATAGTATTTTAGAAACGTCCACGTTCACTTATACGCCGTACTTCACGTGCAAGCAGTGGTACAGAAAGGAAAGCGCGATCAGAAAAATTTGCAAAAGGATATCACATTGTTTGATCTCAACTGTAAGGGCTCATTTTTTTTATTATTTGATTGATTCTACCTTGGTTGTGGCTGGTTTCGGTATGTTGAATAGTGTTTTTAATAATGTGCATAAAACAAGTTTGTGTGCAATGTTGAAGGACAAAATTAAACATTTTTTTCTTTCTGAGTTCTCTAATAATTTTCCAGAGAGCCGGATAGACAATATTTTTTTCGAAATACATACGTATGTCATAATCTTTCGAAATTATGTTTCGCATCCACATAAATCGATGTATTTTGGAATACGTGACCACTCTTGGCAAGGCATCTCGTAATTTGACACATATTCCTTACGTCATCTACTCCACTGTGTAATCGGCCCTTCAAAATGAAAGTACATTTTTTTTCCTACATAGAAATGTGATGCGATAAAGACAACTAGTCAACCCGTGTACCAATCAGCAAATTACTTTTGAATGGTACTGTATAACCTAGGGGAGGGAACGGATTCAACCCTAAAAAACAGTGAGAAATAACCAAAAGGTTAGGGTAGATTTGTATGTAACCTGATGTACAAAAAAATTTTGAAAAGAAGTTAAAACAATATGAGCAACCAAAATTTAGTAAACATACCACATGATTTAGTCCTAGATCACGAAGCATCACTGTTAGCGATTTGGCGAAATAACCTTTCTGTTTGCAGAAGGCTTTTTTCAAATTGATCCATCTTTTGAAGTAACTAAAATTTAATCGAAGCATAAAAGAAGCTAAAATCTTACAATGAAGGAAGAGAATAGACATTCTCTTGTGAAAACTCAACCAACAGACGCATTACGGTCAACCGATTCGTATCGAAAGGTATTGACGTTAACCCACACATGGTCATATCAGGTATATAATCGCGACACTACCAACAAATACACTACAACCAGACATCACATCGAAATAGCGGAATATTAAAAATAGAGGCAGTAAATATATATGAAGCAAATTATTAAAAAGCTTGCTCTGGTAGCTCCAAATTTCGATAATTCGCTTCGCTAGGAAGCAATACACCAAGATCCCAATCACCACATGTTATAAAAGTAAAAAGTGATTTCATGGAACGATCGGCGTTAATCAAATTCGAATCAATGAGCCATTTATCAAAAGCGTTTAAAACGTCCGGAAGGGTCTCTTGATTTGCAACTGTTTCCTAGGAATTTTTGTAATTTATTCGAAAATTCATATCAAAAAAACAACTTTTGTGCAATTCAATGGAAATGCAACATAAATTATTGCACCTGCACAATTCCAGTAAGGTCAGTACAAAACGAAGTTAAAATTGGTCGTTCAGTAGGCCTCACATATCGATGAAACCGGCCAACTTCTTCCAAATTTTCTCCCGATAACTGTATAACCGGGAACTCGATTATCTCCTAAAATATTCCATACACATAAGCTCAATTTATTTGAACAGCTAATGACCAGAAAATGAACAGATTTCGCATCAAATTCAAAACTTGAATATTTTAACGAATAGTATAAACTATGGATAGAGAAGTATTACTTGATGTGGCATAATTTTAATCCCTTCTTCACAAGTTGCTTCGAAATCGAGGACAAGAAAATAATCGAAACTTTGTTTATTTGTGGCAGGTATTTTTTGGTTCATTGCTTGTATTTTCGGAATTGAAGCACTTTGTGTCAAATATTTCCAACTTCCCGTCTAAATAAAATTTGATAAACTTCATCAAAAAAGAATAAATAACGATACAAAAGATTAAACTTCAGAATGATTTACGTAATGTCATGTGGCTAAATCAGAAAGAGTGTACTAGACTTCTAGTTGCTACATAGTTAGGTTATTTGAAGTAATTTTAATTAATGATTAAGAAAATTTAACAAAATTACCTTAGCAAAATGCCCATATGATGTCGAAAATTTATGCAAGAAAGACGGCAAAACATGTGAATGCAAACTCTTTAGAATAGGATTCATTGGGAACTCTTCTGTTCCTTTACGAACAGTGAAATTTCACACGGGCATAAATGTCAGTAAAAATCACGACTTATTGATTTCGTTGCCTAGAATCAGCATTCAAGTCGTTCAGATTACAAACAGATCAACTTTTGCTTGAGATCATAAGCTGCTGAAGTAACATCATCAGACATCAGTGACTTAAAATCGCACATTTCCGTACTTAAATTAGCTAAGTCGTCGTAAAATATTATATAGATCAAATATACCAAAACACATTTTATTTGTTCGAAAACCTTGGCTATAGCTAATTTGAAATGTTTTTAATGAAATTAGAATATTACCATATCATGCACACATGTATCGCTAGCTCCAAGTTAATAGATGAAACGACTATCGGTTACAATATCACAGAACTAAGGCATTTCACAAAAACGACGATTCTATGAATTATAATAAATTATAAATTAAGTTGCACAAGTTAGAGATGAGATCACAATGTGGCAAGGTATAGAGAGTATGTTTGAAAAAAATATGAAATAGGCAGGATGATATGGATTACTCACCAGGAAACCTAACGATGATTGCTAACCAAAGGAAAATCCATGAGTTCTTTTGACATACTATGTATCTTACAAACACTTATCACAGGAAATTAACAAAAAATTTTACCATGGTAAGTGATAAATGACGAAAAAAACCGTTCAATACCTGAAAACAACGAGAATTTCAAAATATGCTAAAAAGTGTTTAGAAAATTAAAAGTACAAGAAAATACAGTACAACACCAACTCAAAACATGAGAGAAAAAGGAAAGAATAAGGACATTTGTTACGCAAGTACGTAATTAATGGGTAAAATAAAGGACTCTCAAATTATTTAGTGAGATATACATCGTGGTGCTAATGTGATCGCAAGTTGGATCGAATACAAGCCACTTAAAAGGCTCAAAACGACACCTCACTCACTTAATTCAACATTCAAACTATCGGTCTGTGATTCCTTTAACCAGGAATACGAGCTAATGTTTCTTTCGCTCGCTTGAAATTTCCGGAAAAGCAATGCGCTTTCATGCTTCAACACTGCTCAAGCACTGCCATCTTTGCACCGTGGTGGGGTGGGGTTTATTGCTAGGATTTTGAGATAAAATAATCAATAAATTTTTAGAATTTATTAAAAAAAATCATACCTGCCACAGCACAAAAGTGGTAATCATAAATAATTTCCGAACCGATATCAAACAAATTTAGTTACTTAGTCATTGCTTTTTTTCGTCATAACAGGCTCCAAATATCCTTTCTTACTTCAGCTATATCTGGGTTAAAGAATACAATAAAGTCTATGAAATAATATTAAAATTGAAAACGCGTCAAGAAACCTACAAGAATGTGTAAATTTACAACGTTTCAAACAATGATGCCACAACGCATCAAGTTCGAGAGAGAAATTAAATAATTTAAATGAATTACAACTGAATGGTCACCAATACTTTTTATTTAGAGATGATAAATCGATACAGTCTGCGGACGACATAAGAAATAGTAGTTCAGAGATGCTTAATATTCCCGCTAACCAATAACTTGTAACGAGACTCTCAGCCGTTTGAAAAATTTTGTCATGACCTTATAATGTTCTATCTTAGCTCGCTAACAGTGCAGCTAGCGAGCTAAGATAGAATAACTCATCACCCGCAACTCTTAGCATAATGATCAAGCGATATTATGCGTATTTACAATTTTAGGTAACGAAGCACCAATATTAGAAGAAACGTTTATGTCAGTTATTTGATTGCTTTGTCCACTGGAAGCTGTTTGTGTATAAGACGACCGCAACAAAAGTAAGCTTGACAGATGTTCTGGAGTTAATTTCAAAACGTTTTGACTTTTATGGACCACACAAGCAGCTGGAATAGAAAGAAGAAACCGAGCCAATAGTGACAAATGTGGAAACTGCGCCTGACCAACAGTGGACCAAAACAGCAACACATCTCTAAAAGTAGAACTTTAACATTAATCAGTGTCAGCAGAACAGGTTCTGAAAATGGAAAACTATTTTTCTATAATTAATCATTTGGAACACGAAGAAAGAAGCGGAAACGAAATATGATTTTAAAAAAATCAAAATTAAAGTCTGTTTCTTTATTTTTCAGCTGTAATACTTCGAAGACATACTATAACATATGAGCGAAAAATAAGTTGACAAATTAATTGCTGAATAAGTGAGTAGATAAGGAAAGGAGGAATTCAACAAGAATCAGTAGACGGAAACAAACTTTGTTTGAGACGCTGGATACTGCGAACGTAAGTAACATTCTAGCTCATCATCGATAACTGCATGATCTTCTAACGAGCTTAAAAATGATATTCGTTTCTTTGGTGGTTCTCCATCATTTGCACCTAAATTTTACTTTGAACTACAAATTTTACCAACCAAATGTTGTAATTCTTCAAACATTTTTTGAGCAAAAGAAAACATATTCTTCATTCTTTTCACACTGATGATTTATGAAATGCTAAAGTTGATATAAAGGAATTTTTAGTGGTTGCACCAAATTCACTAACTATCATATCATGCCGAAAAAAATTTTAGCAAGCTTAAGATTTGTCATTTTTTAGTACAGAAAATGCTTCATGAATTTTAATTATGACATGTAGTGCAGGACTTGATAAAAGAAATTTTCAATTGCAAACTTTACCAGTTGAATGTTCTTCGATTTTTAAATTCTTCAGTTCGGATGTTCCGATTAATTTCCGTATTCTTGAATAAGTTTCTAACCTGAAAATCTAACGTTCTTACAGCTGTTTAAAAAATTTATGCAGGCTGCGATTGAGAGCAATAAATACGAAAATAAAGATGACATTTTGGTTCAATGTTAAAATCTTTCAAAAGCATCATTTCAACAGATAGATCACCTTATTCCGAAATATAAAAAAATAAAACCTTTCTTCATCCGAACAAATAACTGGAAGATGTTTGAGACGAGGATTCAAAACAGTTGCCATGCGATGTTCAGGCATAATTACTGATTCTGTGGCATTTCGTAATACATTTTCTGTTTTCCGTCTTAATGAACAAACCCATGTCGATGTATCGTTATTACTTACATCATCCTCATCATCTGATGAGAACTCATGGATTAAAGCGAACCATTCTGGTTGCACCTGACAGAAAATTATTCATAAACTAAACCAGTTAATAGAGTAAGTACAGGAAATTCAAAGATGTATTTAGACTGATTAATCACTGAGTATTACGAGAAATGAACTAAATTTGGAAATGAGAAGCGAAAAACAATATATTACCATATGAAAAGATACTGTTGATTTATTGCTGAAAATTGATGCCATAATATGAAATGGTTCCAGATATTTTCGGATTTCATCAGCGATTGACCAATCAATTGATCGTACCAGTACCATAATATCTGTATAGTCGATAAGTACTTTTTATTACAATCAATGGCTCAACACTGATAACTTAAGCAATGCTTGATAACGTGTAATAAAATACTACACGTTATCAAACACTGCTTAAGGAAAATGTAACCATAAACATAGCACTAAATATCGTCAGCAACATGAGATATATAACAGTACATTTTGTGCATCATTCAAATGATATACAAATTAAGTAGCAATAATGAGATTAAGTTACCTCCGGCTGAGAATTCAAATCGTCAAACAAAAATAACACATAGTCTGAATGCGATGTTCTACAGTAATTAGGATGAAAAAAAATTAGCACTGATTACAAACAAAGCATACCTGGATGCTGTGAAATAGACAAGTGCTGAACGCACTCCTTAACGTATTTTAACATTTCGTAACCGTAAAATAAGTAATCAAGTCGTCCAGCTCTTTTTTCAATTGGTGGATTGGCCCAACGGTCTAAACCTAATTTTTCTATCGCAGCTAAAAAAAAGATTATATGCTAAAAAATAAGCCAACAATAAACAAATGAAAATATTAACTTATCATGAACCAAAAACAGATGCTATCTGTGTTTCTGAGATTTTACAGAGGCACTTTCCTAGTAATAAAGCAAGTAATAAGAAAAATTACCAACTATTTTCTGACAATCTACAAAAATGGCAAACACATCATGTCTCTGATCGCATAATTCTCCGAAAATTTCATGGATGAGCTGTAACACACGAATTTTTTAATACAAACAATCTATCTGGTTATTCGGAATCCGCGATTATTATGTATTTGGTAGATCAGAGTTAATGAATCATTGCAATTATTTAAGCAAAATATGCTCAAACGGATAATCTTGAAATAGTATCACAAGCCAGGTATCATAGGAATTAATAATTTAAAAGGACTGTAAATTTATAAAAAGTCACATTATTCAATGTGTAACATATGCAGTAAAGATGTGCTTGCCCATTACAACTCGGAATGTTTTCTGTAACACATAATAGTCTTTTGGATTCACCAGCTTCTTGGATCATTGTTCCCAATCCTGTTTTCATTTTTTCTAGTGTATCAACGCTGAAATGAACATTTGATAAAAATTTGGTATAATTACTGACAAATTCACAAATTAAATAAAATTCATTACAAATCAATTTTTGTCTCTTAAATTGCATGAAATATAGATGTTATCAAAATAAAATGTCACTGTTAAATTAAATAAAAAGTATAAATGAAATTTACTTCACAATGCGATGCTTATATTTCCATTCTGCTGTGATATAATTAGCAGAGACAACAGCAATATCATCTTCGTTTCCAACACGCTCTACCGAAAAAGAGAAACCGGATGTACGGGCAATTTGTCCCACTTCTGCAGTCAATTCCGACAGCACCATTGATGTATTAGCTTCAATAACCTGCAAAAACAAAGTACCATCACTAAACACGGTTCTTAAGAATATGTACATGAAGTTCCAATAAACATTACTGAACAGTATGTATGGATGAAATTCAAATCAAACATCGAGTAAATAAAATAACATTTCATAATCAAAGTAGTTAGATAAAGTTGCTAACTTGGTTTAGGGTAGAAGTTTCAGGAATAAGTGTTGAAACTGCCTGACGATCCGGACATCGACAACGTCGTCCAATCGATATAGCCGTCTCAATAACACCATGCATTCCATCTCCCTAAAAAACTTCGAATGAATATTAATGTTTATTGCTAATCAGCGAAAATGAGGAAAACTAACAAAAAATTAAATTTGCGATCAATCAATCTTAGAATATAGCAAAATTTAGCAAATCCGGGCATAGTTATAATGAACAGTTATTGTGAACTATTCTTTCTCTAATCACATACCTAATATTTCATCCTTTTCGAGCCAAATGCAATAAAAGTGACAGATGTGATAATTTACGAAAGTTAAAATCAAGAAATCCAAGTGTAACCTGAAAAATGGCAGGTGGAAGCAAATCGATTGCACAACATCGCATAATTGCATTGCAAAATATTCGACGATCATAATCACTGAATGATGTCTCGAATGATGATTGCGCCGTAAGACTTGTATGTGAAACTGAAGGTGGTGCTGGGGATTCCTGGAAGTATTTTCAAAAATCATGATTATGTCCCGAAAAAACAACACATCTTTTGTTTAATGAATAACGCAAAAGTTTTTCATAGTCTGTACTTTGAAAAATATTTATTGAAAGGATTATTTCTTCCTTGGATTTACTCATTTAATTAAGCTTCACACATAAATAACCAAAAAATTAAAACGTTTAATGAAACGAGCACATTACCCTTCTATATGCAGCAGATGTGTCGGGAGACAACTGATTGACATATCCTGATGTTAGGGTTTCAAAAGACTGTTGACCGGAAGCATCATTCGCTGTTTCTGTCGATGAACTAAAATAAAACTATAAAATGGTGCTGAAGTGAAAAATCTCTAATTTCGACAAAACTTCGCGTAATTTCGAAATGAAACCCCAACCGGAAGAAACAAACAACTACTTCTTTCTTTCCCTACTCCGCATCTGTACAATCCATTTCACTGAAACAAATTTTACGTTACTTTATACTGTTATCCTTGTAGCTACTGCCAATTGGACATCTATGACGAGTCATATTCCCCGTTCCACCACCCGTGTCTGTATAAAGCACTTTACATGCGTAACAAGCCACATAAGGTAGACGAGCTCCCGTAATCGTGTCAAGCACCTAAAAAGCGAACAAAACAAATCTTTTAAACATGAAACTTTCATGTTTAAAATAGAAACTTCTGACAACAGAATTTCTGCCGGAGTAATCAGATAACTGCATGTCAAACGCAGCCCACTGCCACCCTCGGCTGAGAACCATACAAAAATTATGATCTTTACCGATTAACATATAGTAATTGCCCTCTTAGCTCAGTTCTTTTAGAACACATATTTTGTCATGCATTAACATAGCTCTACCACTGGCCTACTTATAACCGATGAAATGTCAAAGAAAAATTCTGTAGGGGAAATCTTTTTCACCTTTTTAAACAACGAACCTGTCCAAACAAATTCCATACTTCCGATCTGCCTTTCTTTTTGACTAGTTCAAATCTTCCCAGCTTCATACGTATGTCATCCTGTATAACAGATTTTGGTGGCATGAGATTGCTATTTAGTGGCAAGGTGACACCAGTATCCCGACAATAAGATGTGCTCAGGCCGGATGGATCATTTGGAATCTGAAAAGTGTTAAATAAAGTACTAGTCCATTGTGCTCACGCATTTAATTCATGAGAAACGCTCAAACTTTGTTCAAATATCGTTATCAATAAAACCTTACCTGATGTTTAATCACAGACTGAGCATCGGACAATAAGCCACTCGTTTCCTCTGTGAAATTCCCATCACAACTGCGAATCTAAAAGAAATCACCAAATGTGATAGGTTATTGTGCATAACATCCAAGTGAAAGAGACTGGAAACTGTATGATGTATATCTGGATTCCCGAAGATTCAAATTTTAAATGATATTGAGGCACAAGACTATTACCGAACAAAAAATTGAACTAACTGGTATGTGAAAAATATATTTAAAATTTTGAAATAATTTGAGTTGACAGTATATTTAAAAGCCATAACCAAAAATACCGTATTTATCCCAGAAATTTCATGAAGCCTGGATGGTCGCATAGGTGGTACCGAATGCGCATGCGCTGGTAAAGTACTCCGGTGATGATGCACAGCGGTAATACCACTGATATCCTCGCCGGAAAGCGGCTCGCTTTTGGTGCACACAATTGTAGCCGTTGGTTGATTAAAACGTTTTACTGAGGCGAATGATGTGATATCGTTGGTACCGTTATTATTGCTCCAACTATGCGGATCGCTGGTTGTATTCTCGTCATCTATTGTTTCATCACTGATTGCTGCGGTCTTCCGCAGCGCCGGATGGCGAGTACGGGTTGTCGTTAACAACTGCTCTTGAGTAGCCAACTTGAGTCCTGAAACAGTCCCGGTTAATCTCCAGATTCCAAGTTTTTATGATGTACATTCCAAATATAAATTATCATGACGGAATTGTTTTGCATGAGTAAATAACTATCCGGCATGGTTATATGCATGACTAAGCAAAGATTTTCAGCAATTCAACAAAACTATCATAAAATTCATGTTCAATAACAAAAATTAGGATTTATTTTACTCTGATCAGCATGATTTGTGACAGCAAGAAAAACATTCGGAAATTCTCAACAAAGGTAACGATTTTATTTGGATCCACGAAAAGACTACAGAAACAATATGTATGTGTTGCGTGTATGCATTATTTATATGTTTCAGGAAAATTTTTATGAAACTTTTAGTGGACAAGAGAGAAAAACAACAGCAATACACAAAGGAAGAGTTGCACAACCGTTCATCTATCAGGCTAAGCTTTTCAAATTTCAGTGATATCCACAATCAGAAGGCTACATAATGGTAAATAGTTATTGAAAAAATTCGATTTCGAAGTAATCGTAGGTGATAAATGCGACGCTTTTCGAAAAACACCAAATATCTCACAAACTATCTCTTCCCTCTATTATTTATGGTCATCTCCGAGGATATTCAAAAAAATTTTCACAAATACTTCTATCTAATGTTTCATATAATCAAATAAAACATTTTTCAGTGGAAAAGTAAATGTTAAAGCTGCAAAAAAATTGGATACCATAAAGAAATTCAGTAAAATTAAAGAAGAATCCTGGTTTCACCATAGCAACAATAGCGCTGCAAGTGACATTTCAAAACAAAAGACGCATGGCTTTCTGCGGCAAATTCGAATTTGATTAAAGGATTTCATAAATTGAATTAGTTATACGGGAGAGCTTTGTGTAGTAATTCAGCTGGAAGTGGGGCCAACGTTATTAGTGACTAACATTTGCTGTGCCTTAATCTGTCACTCATCAGCTCGTTAACGTCGGAAATACATAATTGAGAATTTAAATGTGAAAAAAATTAAGTTCGAATTCAATCAAGAAATAATTTTTAGCATTTACAATGCATTCTATCCGTCTGATTATTTCTGAATCTTCAATAAATTCCAACCTTGAAATCTTAGTATTTCTTGTTGAATGTAATAATATTTGTATAAATACTAAATTTCTTTGCTGTACTTGTGAAATTTACAGTGTTATTGCCATTAGGGAATCTTGTTAATGGATGAAACACAAAGGGATTTATTCGAATCGGTAGAAGATTTACCAGAATGGTTGCATGTTGACTGGATGTGTCAAAATAGATGTCCGGGACGTATCATCGATGATTGCACTTTGCCTTCCGTACAGTATCCATTACCGTCTTTCTTGAAACTTTCTACTTTTAGCTTCAATGCGAATATGGTTTATTTTTGCATCTTTTTGCCAATTATAGTGGCAGTCATTGTGACTTTAACAATTATTATTAAATTTGACGTTTTCTTGAAGGTTAAAAAGTAAAAAATTTTGAGATATCTTTAAAAAGCGCTTGCAATTTTTTTTTCCGCCATGATTTTGACTTCACTTAGTGTTTGAACATGCTCAAGTTGATTTTGGTAAAAATTTTCTGAACCATACGTTTTTTAGCTCTATACAGACAGCGGCATCAAAACGGTATTTCGGTGCCTCCGGTTTTTGTATCAGCAAATCGCTTATGACGCCGCCGAAATAGCCATCATTGACTTGGATCGTTCATTCAATTATTTAACCGCTTTTGCACAGGTAATAATTGGAGTTATGTGATATTTATCATCCTTGTCATGTTCTAAAAAAAAAAAACTAAATTAAGGATAGTTTGGAACTTGATAAAAAAGTTCAAAATTTAGAACATGGAATTGGATGGTGATGCAGAAACGCTCAATAGAATCGCGCGAGAATTCAAGCTTTTTCTTGTTCAAGCGGGGTCGTTGAGTCATTATATTATCAGCGATGCTTTATTTACCGCACGAAATGTTGAAACGGTAGAGTAAATTGCTCGTAATTTCTTAAAATCTAACTTAAGATTTTGCATCCAGTTTACCTATTGGTAACTATCAGTCTGTAAATCTGAAATACCATCAGAAGTTCGAAAAAACGTTCGGCTGTGTTCAAATGCTGTTGCTGAAATTCAAGATCTCTTCTCAGTGATTTTCATAGTGACAAATTAAGGTCGTGTTCATATTGCAGAATTACATTTTCCATGCTCTATTGATGGCCTGGATGAAAGCTGTCCGTATTTCATGTTTTTTCAAAAGTGAGTTACTTTGTCGCAATAACTGTAACTTTTTTAAATAAAATATTCTAACAAACAGATGAATTTTTTTTAACATTGACAAAATTATACTATTTACTTTTTGTTTATCATAGCGTATGATCTTCAAGAAATGGTTTCATTTAGATGTACGTATTATTTGTTCTTCAGTACATTGAATTTCAAGTGAAATAAGATTGAACAGAACTGTTAATTTAGATATGATTTTTTATATCACTATATAGGGTTCGATGGTTTCGAAAAACTTTATCCTATGGGTGATGCATTATCTTCAACAGAACAGTTATCAATGCTTGTTTCATATGGATTACTACTATGTTCATCGCGTACGGTCAGTAAATTTGAATTTATGAATATGAGAAGTTTCTTGGTAAATGGGAAAATAGAATGAGCTCGATACAATATTCTTTCGGTCGATTAAAATCTGCTTGCTACGATGTTTGCTTTTTCTCATCTTGTGCTCGTGGCAGTTTTTCAACGTAATCTAAATTTGCAGTGACCAATTGAGTTGATTTTGCGTGAAGTTTAAATTTAAAACATCTGATCTCTAGGATCGCTCTTGTGTATGTCGATGTGTCACTGCCGCATGGCACCAACTTTATGTATTCAATAAAGAAATGTTCTGGTCAAATATGGTCAAGTTACTAGGTTTATGCACCGGTGTTTTGCATTACAATCTTCCTGAAAGTCCCTCAAGTGGTAGGTAATCTAAATTATCTTAAAATAAAATCATCTTAATTTCTAAATTTTTGGCATGAAGTTAAGGTAATGTTTTGAATACCATGTGATAACTTTTCTACGTTTAAGAAGCAGCTACTTGTAAATTTTTAAATTTCCTCCTACATCAATATTCAGTGTGTTTTATATGTGTAACTGAAAAACAAAGAATTTAGAAATGTTCTTGGATTTATGTGACGTTGATAATACAATTTCGGCAAAAATGTTTCTGGAAATAATTTGCGAACTTGGCACTAGCTTTGAAGGTCTTGGCATCATAACAGGTGAAAGATTTAGATAAATCAATTTCATTTTTCATTTATCATCTATTTTCACTTAATAGACCTTACAGGCAAAGCTTCAAGCAGTTATGTAGAATGTTTGCAGCAAATCGCTTCAAAAGTGCCAGAAAAACAGTATGTTTTGAGGTAGTATTTTATATACTTTTTGCTAACTCTTCAAAAGTGCCAGAAAAACAGTATGTTTTGAAGTAGTATTTCATATACTTTTTGCTAACAGATTGTTGAAATGCACTTAAAAGAAAAATTAGCAGAAAATTTTGAAGTTTCAGCTATAATTTACTCGACTTAAAGGTTTTTTTGACAGGTCTTAGCTTCACGAATCTCAGTTTTTTCAGGAAACTATTTTTTTTGTTCGATAAGGATGAGGGTGATAGCCTTATAGGAACAGAATCTATTTTGCAATATTTTTTTACATACTTATGTTCAAACATTATGGAGCCTCTCGATCGGGTAAGTAAGGTAACATACATAGAAAAGTATATACGTAAACATACGTAGAAAAATTTAACTTTTTACTTAACTTATTCTTAGGTGTGATAAGTCTATAAAAAATCTGCAAATTATGAGAACTTCTTTTCTAGGAGTTGGATTTCTATCCAACCAATGGAAAAATCTGGAAGGACTTCCTATTTTCTTGTTGTAGTGGCAACACGGGTGATCAATGTAGCGACTGGATGCTTTTTATACGACTTATGTCAATGCTTATCAAAAGTTAGATTTATTCTTATTGTGCTAATTATCTGTCTATACAAAATTATTTTTATTGCTCTTATAGAATCTGAGTCAGTTTGGCGAGCAATGAAACCACGAATTTTTTCTAAATTCCCAGCGAAACGATTTCGAGAAATGCCAATCCATTCACTTATTTGCGTATTCAGCCTCTTTATCTCATCTTTACATGATGCAGGTGTGCTTTTTGTGATACTACACTACAAGGATTCAACTTCTGTCAGAGTTATTTCATGATGCATAATTAATATCACGGATCTCAATTATATGCTTTCATAAGAATTTCAGTTTCAAATTAAGCGAATTTGTAGTAATGTAGAATGTGATCTGTTCAGCATTCAGATATGGATGATACATCTAATAAGGTGATTTCATTAGCGACAGCTGCGTTTGATCCTTCCGATAAAGAACGTCATGATGTCTTGATTCGAGTAATTCAGTGTACGAAGTATATTTTGGATGAAAATCATCATGATTCTTCGCAAGCAATCGCAACATTAACAGCATGTAATTTTCATATGCCTATTCTCTCGTGTTGTATGAAGTTTACTTATACTTTTCAAATTTAATATTAAATTTCCCAAAAAAGAAAATTCACCTAAATTTCTGATTACCTCACTTTCAGAAGTTTGACATTCTGCTTAACGGGAATAGAACTTTACAGAACTGTACACTAACCTAATTGGTAGTTTCTATGGGACTTTTCTTTCCATGTGGTCCTTAATCACGATTTTGTTTAGTTTACAATGTAATCTTTGAACACACATATCACGATTTCATTAATTTATCGTAAAATCTTCAAACTGTGCCCAGTCTTTAAAAATACTTGCAGTGATGGGAAGGCTTGATGAAAAAAAAGATGTTTCGCTGTATACCGAATGCTGCATGTGTATCGGTGAAAAAGTATCCGAGGTATCAGCTTTTTTAGTTTCAAGTTCTTTGAGAAAAAATTATTGAAAAATTCTTCCTAAAAAAACAGAACAATTTAGATCGGTTCTCTAATTCGCTTTTTACCATCCATGAATGATATGGATTTGGAACAGCTGTTAGTGATAACTACTCACTGTCGAACTGAAAACAGTGTTCTGTGGAATGCAGCTATCAATCATCTCAAAAGTCCCAATTTCTGCATGATCATAAATTATATTGTTGAGCAAGTTGGTTTTTTTATTAGCACAATACTTATAAATAAATTGCTGAAATTGTTTATCACGGCCTTTAGAATCTGGAATCACAAATTATTGGAAAATGGACTTTTTCGTGGTGTGTTTTCGATTGATTGTGCCAAAGTTATCAACAATTCACAAGAAAGTGAATTCGTGACTGTTGACTTATATTATTGCTTGTTGCCAAACAAATAAAACACAAAATACTTAGAATAAATGAGTATTTAACCACTCCAAAATATTGAATAAATATTCTGGAATAAATGAACAAATAATGTATTATGTGTAATCAGTAGTACGTGTCTGCTTGATTACAAGGAAATACGTAATGCTGATTATACGATTACACGAGTAATATACAATGAGATAGTAGTGATCTATTTTCAAATTCGAAGTTCTAAATTTTGCTGGTCTGAATAGAAATCAGACTTTTTCGGAAATTTCTTATTCATTTCAGTTGGCAATAAAATTTGAACGCAATCAATCAGCTTTCCAAAACATGCGTCAAGTGGTGCAAAATCTACTGGCCGAAAAAAGTTACAAATTAGAAATTTGCTTATACTTTTTGCGAAAATTTTTGAGAAGAGCTAACGATACGATCTATCCGGTTGAGTTTATTGTTCCCATATGGTTAGTGGTCGCCTTCGAAAAACCGAACACAGATGGTTTGTTTTTCATCATAACCGGTCCTTCAAGATAATTTTGCAAAATTTCTAGTCTATTAACGTTCTTAGATTTATATTTAATAGCTCAAATGGCCTTTAAATTTCTGCATATGTCAACCATGAAGACATAATGCTTCAGTTGTATTAGGGTAGGGAAAGATCTCGGAAATTCTAAATCAAAATGCTTGTTTAACAATATGAACAATGGCAGCTTAATCGGGACACGAATTAACAATTACCATTGGAAATTTCTTGAAACTGTATTCTATATGCAGTCTGAATAGCACCATAGTTATGCAAATCCGAATTTTTAGAACTCGATGATATATCTGAAAGTATTCGGAAGAATCTTCGAATGTCATTTCGAAAAAATGGGTTGTATTTTGAAGCTTTTCCTACAGATTCATCCTCAACAATTTTCTCGATATGTTGGCTATTTGAGGTTGTTTTATTCTGCATTTATTCTTTTGTTTTAAGCTTTAAAACACTTTTTAATTCTAAATTCCAAACATAGCAATTATTATAGACTGTATCAAAAAATGCTAAGAACTGCAAGAAATGGGTTCACGAGAATATCATGAATTGGTCTGAACTGCTAGTAGCACCTCTATATCATATTTTAATGAACGGTGAAGAAACAACAGTAATGCACTGCTGCCGTATCATGTCTTATTTATATATGTATGTTGCGCAACAAATTTATAAGCCGCCCTCGGAATGTAATTTTAATCGGTCACCATTTGTGCGATTTTGCAAAGTTATACTACAAAATGTGGTAAGTTCAACAGATTTTGGAAAATACTTTGATTTTAATCTGAGTTCCGTGAGTTTTGAAGCTGAGATCAAAGGCAAAATTTTCATCGGAATAGACATTGGATAAGGGAGAAATAGCATACTGGGAACTTGCTTTTGAAATAGCACTTTGAAAACAATTTGCTTTCGATCTCCACTTTCTTGACTTCAAAGAAATATCGATATATGCGTCTTTCCTGTTACTTTTAATTTGTAGCAAGTGAACTTATACGCAACTGCAATAGGATTTAAGAAAGCACTCTTCACTATTTTTTTGCTGCATGAAGCTTCAGATGAGGTTTTTTGGAATTTTGACTTCAAAAATTTCAAACTCATTTTGCATTTCAGTTCTTAGCGTACGAATTTCCTGCGATCTTTGTTCGTGAAGTATTGCCTAACTACATGGTTGGTATGTTATCATTACCGGTACATTCCGTGCCGTATCTTCTGCGTGTTGTTTCGGATGTACTTGAAAAACACTTGGATGATAATATCTTAAAAGACATATTCACAAAAATGCTCAAGGAAAAACCGCAGTTAACCACGGCATTATATGCTTCATCGAAAGTGGGCACAAGATTGTTCAATTTCGTTTCACAAATGAAATAAAAGTTTAAGGAATTATCGAACATATGTATAAATACTCCCGAAATCTGTCTAACAGCTCTACTGTAAGAAAGCTTGTAAACACCGCTAAATTTCAAAGAAGGGATTTGAAATATTGGACTTATGTAACAAAACTTTGATTATGTGTAAAATTGACAGGAACGTTTTTTAAATGCAGTAAAATGAAGTGAGAAATATAATTAGTAGAGAGAGGGTAAATCATTATATTTTCGAAAGTCAAATTTGATCTTATGTTGTAAAAGTGTGATGATTTCTCCGTTCTGACAAATTCCTTAATGTATGTAAAGAGATGAGGGAAATGTAAATATTTTTCGTTCTGATTTAAAACAATAAAGTGCATAGAAAATTTTTTGCGAAGGAACATATAAGATTCATATAAGATGTTATCAGTGTCAACAAATATAGTATTATTGAAAAATAAAGGAAGCTTGAGATCAGATAGTCAAAGAAAGTTATCCTTATAAATATTTTTTACAAATCTTATAAAAGAACTATGATGTGTGAAGGAGTGCAAAAAAGAATTCGTAACTGTAATGGAACCGGTCATAAATAAGAAGTACGAAGAATAAAGTAAAGCAATAATGGCATAAAGATAAGCAAGAAGTCTATGTACAAGTCCACTGGATCAGCAGGTAACCGGTTAGAGCGTATCCACAAAACTATAATTGGATAATAGGTGAAAATATGTGGATTATTATGAATGTACAAAAGCTACAAGTTATTACTTCACCAAATTTTGACAGTGTTTTTCCGGCTCATGTTCAAGCTTTTTGGACCTTTCTCTTTCTCTCTCTCCTTTTCCTTTTCTTCTTCGTCGCTACTGTCTGCAAATTTCTTAACTCTACCACCACTAATAATATCGATCTTTTCCAAGCTGTGTCGTCGTCGAAGTTTACTCTGACTATCAGTCGAGAAAATGCTGCCACGAGACTGATTTCCGAGACGGGGAGAAAATGGTACCATACTGTCTTTAGAATTGTTTCGAGACAATACGTACGAATTTCCTAGGATGCTTCCTGGAAGATCAATTAATGTTTGCATACTCACCTTGTGATATCATATTAAACAAAACACAAAGATATGGGTGAAAGATTTCCGGCCTTTATATCGTAACTTTATAACCCCAGCTCAGTTAATTTATCTCCAAGATATATTGTGAAAGACAAGTTAAAAAAATCAAAAATTTTTTCTGAACTAAGTACAAAGAATTAAACTTACGTGATGGCACTTTCGGTATTGTTATTCCAGTCAACGGACCACGTTTCACGAAATACGGTGAATCGTAGAAAACACTTCTTTTCCTTTGTACGGCATTCAAGGCATCCGAGCTGATTTTTCGAGCAATTTGAGCTTCCTCAAGCAATGCCATTTCTAATCTTTGTTGGTGTTGTGGCCATACCTTATCCATTTGTGATATATTTCTAAACAGAAATCTTTGAAATAAAAATTCCAAAAAAAGTGAATCAAACGGAATGCCTTGAATAGCTAAAATCATAAGCTTTCATCGAGATTCGATGTTATATTTGCACAGAATGCAAGTTCGCCACCATTCACTGAATGCAAAGAAATTCTACATTTCTTTCAATACTCTACAGTTACTTACTTTCTTCTCTCCTCGAAAACATAGTGGGACTGCCACAACGATGCGATTAACTCAGTCGCAAAAACGACATCCGCATGATTAGCAACCATTCTTAAAACAAAAATGCCATCTGTCCCCAAATATTTATGCAAAAAGCGGTCCACGTGCTTCTTATTTTCTAAAAGAAATTATGCATCGTTTTTGTTTTTCAAAATTATACAGCCAGTACAACAATTCCATTTCAATAGTTTATGTTCACGATTCCTTGTCTACACAAAAAAGACTGGTTGATCAGTACTGTAAGAAGCATCACTAACGAGGGTCATTTTTATCAAATGGTATTCCGCTCATTTCCAGATGATTCAGGATAAAGTGCTCCTTTGAACAATTTTCCGTTAACAAATAGATCCAGTTCAAAACATTCAAAGAGGTGACTGTTGCTAATATTATGAACCTGAAGTCAAACAACAATGATTACTATCACAGACTGTTCAACTGTTCAAAGTAAAGCTCCTAGTAGTGATTGGTGTTCGAAATTGCATACAGCAATTAATAAACCTTACAGGATGTCATATGAAAAATAATTACCAGGACCACAGAAGAATGAAAATTTTTTCAGTGAACAAATTCACAACAAGAACACATTGCACCGTATGAGTTTGTATGTTTCCCATTTCCCGGACCTGAAAAGTATGGGTAAAATATATGAAGTCAGGATGAATAAGAAATATGAGATATTTCTGATTCACTTACTTCAAAATCGCAAAGCGTTACTAAAGGGAAAATCCCACTGTGGTGCCATGATGGAGAAATATTCTTAGGCCAGATAATATTCATCCATGACTCTAGGCCTTTATCATTCTTAAACTCTGGTAATAGATATCTGAAAAACGAGGAAAGTCATCTAATAAGCATAAGCATTCTTCCAATGCAAATCAGACTGGATAATCAATAAGAAATCTTTGTAGGTTCCTGAAGCTTGACATAACTCCAAACTTCTCAAGAATTCCAACTTATAGCAACAGTCCCCTACATTAAATTTCATTGATAATATATCAGTGATGTACTATTTTTTTCTAAAAAAGATTACCGTGTCATCAAAGAGATTTGAAATATAGCATTTGCCAAAAATGCTAACTTCGCTAAAATATATATCGTTGCAACGTAATAATTCGCATATTTTAGATTTAAAAATCGAAAAATTTTATGAGGCACCAATTTCTTCTGAAATTTAGATGATAGACATGGGTATAGAATTCAACAGACTAAAGTTAGATGAAGATGAACTTAAACTAAATACCTTTTTTACTCGTTCATGAAATCGTAGCGCACCTTGCAGATGTACACATAATGCTTCAATATTTCCTTTTTTAACTTCCAAGGATGAATTTGCTGGATCACTAGCTAATCGAAGGATTTGACCTAACTTCATCCCTAGAATACGGAAGTTAAAAATAATGATTAATTTAGTCATATTCTCGAAATCTAGCACTCAGTCATGAAAGTCACCACTGAACGACACAAATGTGTTAGGTACAGTGATATCTTCGTTACATAAATAAGATGTCATTCTTCCAGGTTTGATCATGGATAAACAAAAATAAGTAAATAAAAATAATCATACTTGGCGTACCGTTGCCTAAAAAACGAGAAATCAATGAAATGAAGATCTTATGATACAGCACATGAAGTAATTCAATTCAAAGGAAAAACCTTATTCTTGTTTATCAACGTTTAATCATAACAACAACAGAAGTATAAAATAACACCTGACTGCCCGGCAAAATATTTCCATATAAGCGTGGGCGCCTTAAAACATGCTGCTTGAAACAACAAAAAAAACGGCATCCATTGATAATAACTAATCCGACGTTCTCGGCGTTCTTCTGCCGAAATATGCTCAACAAAAACTTTTGGGGGAATAAAATACGTATCTTGCGCCCAACAGAAATTTTCCGCGTACTGTAAAAAGAAAAGTCAATAAAAAATTTCTGATTATAGGATAAATGTTATGTAGGAGTGTAAAAAAGTTTTTGGATTTTCTTACCTTATATAACTGAAATTCAGTCTTTTACTATGGCATAGGAAAGCTTTAACACTGTAGTTAAGGTGAACGATACGCTGAATTTGTTAGAATCGAAGAGATACCTGCTCCCATGCTCCACTGAAACCCATCGGCAACATACACTCCATCGGCCGACCACCGAATTGTTTAAAACTAATGATAACAGAAAAAGCAATCAATAAATTGCAAGTAAAATAACTGTGTAAACTTGCAATCACATCCTGTAACATCAGCTGATTAAATGGAAAGTTTCGAAAGATAATATATATTCATTTGTTTATTTATTATATACGTTTTTATTTCCACACTATATATATATATATCCTGATGTGCTTCTAATTTTCAACATATGAACTGCGCGTAACAATTTGCTACATGATTGCTTTTGAAATCAAATTTTTGATACTATCAAAAAATTTCCAAACCTTGACGATGGGTTTATTGCTGTATGGAACAGTATGAAGAATATGGAATACAAACGACATTCTCCGTTACACAAACAAATAAACATTTAATTAGCCACTAATTTCGGGGTTAATTGCAAATAGTTGACCTGATCTTCGAAACAACCGGAACAGAACAATATCATCCTGCAACACAATCTATATGTCGCCGAACTACCACCCAGAACTTAGCATCATTCCTCTCGAATCTCTCGAAAACTCTCCATCATAAAATCCCACTTTAATGAAGACAACGGGATCACTTCCATCCACACCTCCCTATCTTCTTCCCCTTCTTACTACTGACTGCCCTCTCTCGATGATCCCTTGACCGGGAACAGACATGGTATCATCCACAGCTCTCCGAAGAGAAATCAACGAGAAACTAATTCGTTTCTCGTGGGCACGTCAAGAACAATTCTGCAGATTGCATGTAGCACGAAAAGAATGATAACCGTTACAGTGCATTTTTGACATTACAGTATGTTATCACAATGGCGCTGAGAGAAATTCTTTTTTTTTTTTCATATTTGCTTTTCGTATCGTTTTCCAATATTTGTTTACAAATCAGTGCAATTGTTAGTCATATTAGAAAAGAAAGATAAAGGAAGTACGGAAATTTTGGATTGGAAGAACTGCCGGATAAGACTGCTCCGATCCGAATACGTTCAGCTTTTTTTCATGATTCGGCTACTTGTGAGACAATGGATGAAATAGTAGCGACTACATGGGTCGATTTGCAACTGTGTGGAATGACGGTATTGCCATAATTACGTGGTGTAAATCACGCAGGAAGGGAACTCGCATCTCGTCAATAGCTCAAAGGGGAATGATGTAAGTTCCTAAATAAATAAATGATACTTAAATAAATGTATGCAGCAACCTGACTGATTTTAGACAAAGATTATTTCAAAACAGATGTTATTAAGTATTGAATACTACAATAAAATCCTTCACTTGTTTATATTATCATACTTAAATTAAACGATCACTTTTCCCGCTATAAAAAATTACGTTAATTAAATAACTGAAATATTAATTATCACCAATTTTTATGAGGGATACAGTGCTTTCACAAAAACTCTTATGAAATTAACGTATGATTTGATGTAATTGTTATGATTTACAAAACAGGGGAAAAAAAATTTATTGAGCACCCAACGAAACATGAAAATCAGTTGAACATTATATTGTTGATATGCACTTTGAAAGCAACGTTTAATTTACACGAACCAAAAGTGAACATATAGCATACAATTAAGAAAAAAAAAAGGGAAACAAATGATAGAATTTATACGTATAAAATACAACGACCATTTTTCCTGCTGTAAAAGTTGTCGAGAAGGAAAGAAAAGAAAAAAATGATTGGTAGGAAGATATCCTTCGTCGTGCTTCCTCGTGTTTATTTCCCGAAGAACATCTTCGAAGAATAATAGCTTTCCGAAATCGATGAGTAACACAGTTGGCTTGAATGTTTTACTTCACTTGTTTATATTATCATAGGTTAAGACACCAAAGAGCTCTATGCTATATATGAGTGGAAATAATGGGCAGCAATAACGAAGACTGGATTGTCAGTGTATCACACGGACAATATAAACAAAACTTTAAGAGGAACTTTTTTCATTTCATTGAAATTTGTTTGATTTGAGAAGGAATAATTGGCAATTTGTTGATATAATGGGTTTGCTCCTCTTAATAATAGCTTTCAGCAGTTTCGGGAATTTTGAAATTAAAGTTTTAATAAAAAAAATATTCGTGGCAAGCTATCCAACCCATTTGCAAGCTTTGCATACTGATTTACTGATTCAGAAAATGAACATTTCCAAATTCAGATTATCTTACTGGTGGACGAAGAGGCAAAACTGCGAAAAAATTATTACACGTTGTAAAAAAAAATGGAAGTGATCCCAATTTAAAATTTATATTACTACAATACGCTGAATGATAAGAAGCAGCAGATCAGTTATAATTAGCAATACTATGGGATATTCATTAATTGAAGTTAGATAGTATGCAAATAGGATGACCAGACGAGTTTTGCTTTATTTTTCTTTGACGAATGGAGTATTGCATGATTTAATATGTTATTATAAGCATTTTATGTTAGTTCAATTTTTCAGAAGTTTAGTTCCTTTTGTAAAATCATCATTTTGATGAATAATATATGATGATTTAGAAATTTCAAGTAACAAACACTTGATGGAATGGATAGGATGGAAAAATGACTGACGTCGTGTGTTTATATGGGGACACCTAAATCAGATTAAGGCACGCTATATTGATATTCGGATTATCCTGTCCTGATGATGAACGTTAAACGTCTAACAATGGGCGAATTAAAATAATATTTTAAATAAAAATAAAAATCCCAAAATATTAAATCATAATAAATGCTATCTAAATTTAGCAATTTATCATTAAATACCAGTGCCATTGACAATTGATTCATTTTACTATCAGAAAATGAAGGTTATTTACAAAAGTTGATGTTGAAGATCATCTGAGCATGGGAGAATGCCCGTTATGACGTCTATTGTTTTTCGGTAAAGGTGTTTCCATATATCTTGCATGAACTAATAAACAATCCTTTTCATTCTTTGTATCAGTACCAGTATTGTCCTGGAAAATGCAAAAATCAAATAATTGTAAAAAAAAAAAACTTAATATGACTCGTCATTTATTTACTTATTCATTCAAATTTTTATATATGACTCTTTTATTTGAATAAATACAGTCATTGTTGATTTCTTCAACAAATCCGTCAAATCTTTTTTCTCGTCGCTTATTTTTTCATTTCTGATTGATATAAATTTTACAAAAAATATCACAAACTAAATCTTTTTGTGATGAATTTGCATTATCTTCAACATCTGTATCGGTTTTATTCGCATCAGTATCCGTTCCAGCAAGTCCATGGCCTAAAATTTTAACTAGTAATACACTTTTTTGTCAATATTTTTTTTGGATTAAAACAAAGAAATGTTAAAGTAGCAGTCAAAGAAATTTTATAAATAAGAAAAAACCGTTCAAAACGAGTGTTTCTTTTTCATTTTTGATCACATAAGTTTTTGCTCACTTTAAATTCATCACATATATGAATCATTGTATTTACATCCTAATCTCTTTTCCTTTCTTTTCTTTTCTTATAGTTGGTAAATTGATATACAAACCATCGGAAGCCTCTTCTCTTTTGTTACTTTCTTCCAAATGTTTCATCAAAACAGCAACAACAACATTGACCAACACAAATTGCGAGATCAGTACAAATATGATGAAGAAACATGGTGCTAATATTGGATCGACACAGCAATTCGATTCACAACGATCCGACGGATCGCAATCGTCACGTAATGCATCCTAAAATAAAAACGTGAACTAATATTGAGATGCAATGTTAAACATAAGAAATAGTGGAGCAATTTTTCCATAATTTTTAATAAAAGTTGCAACTTAAAAAAATTAATTCATAACTTGTCTGTAAACAATTTGTATTATATTATGAACTGTTTTTAATTTTTTTAATATTTTAAAATGTAATTAAACTCTGTTAATATTTAATGTTCAATACCTTCATAATTCCATTCCAATTGTCACCTGTAGCTATGCGAAACAATGTAAGGAATGCCATACCGAAATTTTTGAAATGAGCATGCTCACCAAGTCCATCACATGGATGTTCATCCGAGCATTCTAAAAAGTTCATTTTATGGATTTAATTTATAAAAACATGTTGGTTTTTGAAGCACTTCACTATTCGATAATTGCTAAATTGCTTGATTTTTCTCGGATCTAAAGAATAAATCAATATAGTACTTTTTCTTCTCTTCTAAATTTTTAAAGTAAGTAAGTCAGCAAAGTTACATTATAATTTCCTGCCAAACATTTTTACCATCATTTTAAATCGGATAAAAAAGGAAAAGATTTCCTCTCTTAGCTTACATACCGAGTTTACCGAATAACTCGACACCAAGAGCGGCGAAAATGAAAAATAAGAGGAAGAAAAGCGATCCAAGATTTCCAACTTGTGGTAATGCTTCACCAACTGTATCCAATAGTGAGCGGATACCTTTAGCCATTTTTAATAATTTCAATACTGCAAACAAATCGTGTGATATATATATAACGTTGATAATTAAGATTAACGTCTTTGCAAAAATTAAAAATGAAATTGTTTTAGATGTCTATGCAGTGTGATTTATTTCCTCCTTATTTTTGTTAATGTCAAAAGCATATTTCCAGAAAAAACCACGAAATTATCCAGAAAGTAAAATTTTAGTGGGAATTTTTGATCGTTCTTGTTGTCTTAAACCCGTAATTTTAATATTTGAATCAGAAATATTTCATCAAAGCAACACTATCTTCTTGAAAGAATCACTAAGAATAGCTGTGCTAAATATTAGTTGTGCTAATATTTTCAAAATGCTTTAAAAGAACACTGAAATCGAATTCATATTACCTCGAGCAATTCGAAGAACTCGCATTACTCGAATAATTGTTGGGTTAATGGGCAATTCTAAAGCTTCGAATTCCTCGAATACAATGCCAGCAATAGATAGGATCACAATGGAAATATCCAATTGATTCCATCTGTAATTTAAAAATGATTTGCGAATTGTATAAAATTCTACGATTGTAGTTATCATGCAGAAAAGAGATAACAAATAGTGAGATGATTTTAGGCTTGTTGTGTTGTTCTTTCTAAATGTACCAGTCCTACTCGATAAGGAATTGCAAGAATTGAGAAAATTTATAAATCTCTTTAGTTTATTCTAAAAATAACTTAGAATGAGGTTTAACTGAATTTGAATTTGCCTTTTTTTTTCTTACCGTTCGCTGAAAAATCGACGAACTCCCAATGCTACAAGTTTAATCGCAGATTCCAGAGTGAAAACAGCAGTGAAAAAATAATTCAATGTTTTTAGGACATACTTCAATCCAGTTGGCATCATATAGAATTCCATAGCCATTGAGATGACATTTACTCCTACAGTAATTAAGACTTAATGAAATGATGCGATAAAAGAATCTGGGAGTTCCTGCAACCCTTTTAAACCTCCAACTTATTGGAAATAGAAATAAGATTGTTGTTTCCTTACAGTTTTTTTCTTTCGTTTTTTTTTTTTTCAAGAACATTTGATTCTGATCCATATCGTAGATTACTGACGAAATTTGTTAAATTGATAAAATTGGAATGGAAAATTTAGTGTTCCGAATTAGTATCGATCTTTACAAGCCTCAAACATACCAATAACAGCGGCAATAGCTAGATCGAAGTACTTTGAGGTCACAATATTGTTCAAAAATAGCCTTGTCGGACCATAATTATGCCAATATGGCTGCGATTTCTCTCCTCAAAACGTCAACAATTGTAAGACATCACGCAGTTTTTTAGAATATAAATTATTTATTCAAGTTTTTTGCGCCTACAAAAAAGACTTTGAAACTTGAATGAATAATTTCTATCCATTAAAATTAAATTCGGTCCTGGATTTTGCTCAATTTCAATTTCATTTATAAATTAAAATTAAGGGAAATAAAAAAGAAGGAAATGCAATGGTCAATTACGTCTTTTTTTCTTTTGTCCATACTCGCTTTCATACTGTTGTCGTTTTAATTTTCTCTCTAGACGCTTTTTCCGTGCCTGTTCCTTCATTTCAGCTTCCAATGCTTCTTTGCATTTATGGAAATTCTCCACAACAACACCAACAAACATATTCAATACGAAAAATCCGACAAGTAGTAGGAAAGAGATGAAATAAATCATTCGCCACTCATTGTAATTTTCGATCGGCTAAAACAGATATGAATAAATCTATGCTTGCAAAAAATTTTGAAAGAAATTATGAAATCAAATTGCATCAATCACCTGTAAATCTACACCTGTAGCATCGATACCCTGGTACATAATAGCAACCCATCCATCCTTACTGGACAATACAAACAGTGACATCAGTGCCTAGAAAAGTTCAACCTAATTTGAATGTGATAAATATTAATTTTCAAATAAATCTTTATCAATTATATACACTTTTTAACTCTGTTAGCCTATTTGTCGAAGACTGCAAAATTTTTAAAAGACTGACAAAATTATCAAGGATTGTCAGAAACTTACCTGGCCAAGATTGTCAAAATTATAGCGATGATTAACCCATCGATTTCGTGGATCCATCAAACAATCTGTCTTTGTTGTGACATTACTTATATTTGGTCCAACACAATGAAACATCATACCCTACAAATAAATATCCTTTATTATAAATAATGGAGGTATGCTAATTTTATTGAATCTCAAATCTTGCTGAAGTGATAATTTTAAAATTCTTTCTGAAATTTGGTCAACTGTTGAAATAATTGCAATTTGTTTATTTACTGGTGTAATTGTTTCTTTACTTATTTGTTTCCCAAACATATCTGCTTATAAGGTATGTTCATCCAATTAAAACGAACTTGACCTTGAACAGCTGAACACCGAGAATACCGAAGATTATAAAAAAGGTGCAACAAATCAAAACAATGTTTCCAATGGGTTTTAGACTGCTTATCAACGTCATAACCACGAGTTTTACTCCAGGAGCTCGATTTATAACACGTAACGGGCGTAGTGCTCTCAGCAATCGTAATACACGTATAACACCAAATATTTTCGGTGAATCTGAAAAGATGCAGGATAAATAAACGAGATAGCTATCTGTGAAATTATGCTGTTCAACATAAATATAAATTAAACAATTTTACCTATATGAACAAACAATTCAAAAACGATATTTGTAAGACTTATAATAACCAGTGCACCATCCAAAATGTTCCATCCATCTTTAAAATAAGCATCTTTTCCAAGCAAACATCCATTCGCAATGACCTAAATTGTCAATGATTAATACCAGCGCTCCTTTTCACTCGGAATTATTTAATTTAAAAGTCTGAAATCATGCTAACCTTCATACTCATTTCGATGGTAAAAATCACAGTAAAAACATATCCCGCAAATGTAAGAAACTGTCGTTCCAGCGATTTCGGAGGAATTGATGGTCGTTCCATGGCTAATGTGATACAGTTAATACCAATGAATATCAAAATTGTGTAATCAAACCATTTTTTTTCCGTTAGTTGAAGGCACCTAAAAAAGGATGATATATATTGTACGTTGCGACATTTGCGGCCATGAACTTTTGTGTTATATTTTCTTTGTACAAATATAATTGACACTTTCAGTGTTATTCGCTTTTCCTTTTGATTAATTTCGATACCGATTTTACAATTTCGCGTTTGCTTAATTATCATCTGCAATTTTCCGTCGATATCAGTTCTGCATTTTTGCTCAATGAAGCAAACAAACTTACTTAATTCGAATTCGATTTTTTGAACTAAAAATATAAAGTGAATAATCGGCACGTTTGTAAAAACACGTTTTTTTTAATAATTGCATCAATTTCGTATTTTGCCGCTCTCTCTTGCGTCGTTCTTCCTGTTCAATCGCTATTTGCAATTCTTCATTAGCCTACAAAATTATTTCACTCATAGGTCAAAGTACCCAAAAACTCAAAAAGCATTATTCTGAATTCAAATGTCTGCTTTCATGCTTCTTGATTTTTGTAATTA